AAGATATCACCTATATGACTTGGAGCTGAGAACATGTTTTATTTCCAGAGATATGGTATTTTTTGAGGAAATTTTCCCTTCAGTCTCTACACCAACAAATGAGGTGGTGATCCCTAATAATGTTAATGGTGATGAAATATCTTCACAAGATACAAAAAAAGGACTAGATAACACTGATATGTCTGCTGAAGGTGCAGGGAGAGGTGCTAGAAAGAAAAAGACACTTAGATGGCAGGAGGATTATATGTGTGGTCAATCACAAGAGTCAAAGCCAACAAAGAAGATTTATCCTATTGGGACTTATCCATACAACATCTATCCAAATCAGTATGTCTCCCATCAAGAGTTTCTGGCAAACATTTCAGTTGAAAAGGAACCTTCACATTACAAATAGACTGTTTTGCACCCATCTTAGGTAGAGGCAATGCAAAGGGAGTTAGATGCCTTAGAAGGGAATTCCACTTGGGAACTAACATCCTTACCTGAAGGTAAACAAGCTATGGATCTACAAAATTAAAAGAAAAGCAGATGGATCAGTTGAGAGGTATAAAGCTCGGTTGGTGGCCAAGGGTTATAGTCAAACTGAGGATATTGATTACTTTGACATATTCTCACCAGTGGGAAGGTTGGTCATAGTAAGATTCCTCATAGCTACAACAATTCAAAAGGGATGGCCATTGCACCAGTTGGATGTTAGTAATGCATTCCTTCATGGTTATCTTACTGAAGAAGTTTACATGCAGCCTCCCTAAGGATATGACAAAGCTTTACTAGGTCATGTTTGCAAACTCATTAAAAGTCTCTATGGACTAAAACAGACATCTAGGGAATGGAATAATGAATTGTGCAGAAAATTGTCCCTCTTTGGCCTGATACAGTCATCCTATCATCATTGCTTATTTACTTTGAACAAGGATGGGAAATTTTTGGCATTGTTGGTATATGTTGATGAAGTTTTAGTGACTTGATCTTGTGTCACTCTAGTGAAAGAGTTAAAGAATTTTTTGGACAAACAATTCACTATCAAGGATCTTGGCACAACAAAGTTCTTTCTTGGAGTTGAGTTCAAACATAGCACATATGGAGTTTATTTGTGTTAAAGGAAGTATATACTACATATACTAAATGACTTGAACATGCTTGGTTGTGCACCTGCATCTACACCATTACCTCTTGGAGTTAGACTGGAAAGTCAAGCAGGGAAACCAATGCAACAACCTGAACAGTATAGAAGAATAATTAGAAAATTGCTTTATCTAGGGATGACAAGGCCTGATGTGACTTATGCTGTTCAATAGCTAAGTCAATTTGTTAATAACCCGCATGAGGATCATTAGAAAGCTGCCCTAACATATCCTTAAATATCTCAAAGGAACACCGTCTTTGGGATTATCCTATTCTGCTAAAGCTGCTACTTCCAGTCTCACTGCATTTTGTGATGCCGATGGGGCTACATGCAAAGATATAAGAAAATCCATCACAGGGTACTGCATTTTTTTTAGGAAATGCACTGATTTCTTGGAAAAGCAAGAAACAACATACAGTATCACGCTCATTGGCAGAAGTCGAATATAGAGCAATGAGGTCTAGTGTTTTAGAACTTATGTGCCTCAACTATTTGGCTCAAGAGTTTCATGTTTCATTATCTTTCCCTATTCCTATGTGGTGTGACAACAGAACTGCATTGCATATCACTGCAAATCCGGTCTTCCATGAAAGAACGAAGCATCTTGAGATCGATTGTCATCTAGTACGAGATAAATTCAAACAGGGTTTTGTTATACCAAAATATGTTCCCTCTCAACACCAACTGGCAGATCTCTGCACTAAAGTCATTGTTTGACACAAGTTTTCTTCTCTTGTCTGCAAGTTGGGCATGCTTTCAGCAGATCACGACCCAACTTGAGGAGAGGGTGTTGAATATGTAAAGAACCAGCTCGAGCAGTTATAACTGTTGAGTTCAAGCTTAGGGAACAAGTGGCATGCACGATTTTACTTTTCTGTTTTCTAGTTTTAATTCCACTTCGAACGACATCGTTTCTACTTATTAGAACGACGTCGTCTCGTTTGTCTTCCTTTTGTTTCTTTGATAGTTCATGCGACGTCGTTCTCTGTCACTTACACGACGTCGTTTTCCTTTTATCTGTTGCATGAATGAGCTGCTCTATATAAAACAGAGTGTACGTACAATTTTGAGCTAAGAAAAAAAATTCCCAAAATATCTAGTCTTCTGGTTTTGAAGTTCCTGAAAATATCTAGATTTTACATTCATATCATCTCTCTCCTACTTTTACATCAAATTAATTTTAATTATTTTATTTTAAATATTATTTTAATATAAACTCAAAATCCCACTAGCAACTAACTATACTATTTTTTTTAAATTAACCATAGTTAACTAAAAAAACTCACTTCGAATTAATTCACTCAAATTATTTCTTTTACAAACACACCCTTAGGGTGTACTGTTCTAATTCTAGGCCACTATGTGGTGTTGTTCTCTAGTTCTTTGTAGAATTGAGCTTCTTAGCTCTCGGTTTGTATTTATGTAAATTTAGTTGATATAAAATTTTCTATTGTTTCGAAAAATAAATAAATGGGTGATATGAAAAAATGAAATGTTTCTTAAACATCCTATTAAAATCAAGATTCAAAAGGAGATAATAGGTTGATAGTCCAATCTCGTCAGTTTTAGTCTATATACATATAATAAGAATAACCATTTACTAAAAATAGTAGTAAAAAGTTTTGGTAGCATTTAATACGTACATTTTTTTAGAAACTTATTAAATATATACATTAATTGTTTCTATATACACGTTTTCAAATAAGGTCAAATCAGATATGATAAAAAATATTGTTTTCTTAAATAAATTTACTAATATCTGCAATAATTTCATTAATATCCATTATAATGAATTACAAGATTGATTTTTCGTGATTCATGATGATAATATTTTGGTCTGACATTTGCTAAATCAAAATTGTTTAATTACTATACAAAATTAAATTCTAAAAAATGACGAGTGTATATTTTATAAAATATTTAAACACTATTTATTTTTAAAATTATTTTCATATTTTAAATTGATTACATAAATAAATAATACTGACGTGAATTAAATATTTTTTATTACATAAAATAAAAAGCAAAAGAAGACGTACAACTTCTATAACTTTTATAAATAATAATTATATTATATGACAACAAAGTTTATAATAAAATAATAATTAAGTGTTATATGGTGAACAAGATTAAATAAAATTATTATTTTCTCTTATATCAAGGAATAAATATATATACTAAAATAAAATTTATATTATCATAAATGAGTTGGTGAGACAATATATTAATTATTTTACAAGTTAGGCCTAACATGTTCATACTTAATGTTCTGGCTAAAATTAAAAGAGATGAAAAATAGATGATAATCTTATTGACTTTTTAGACTTTCTATAAATACGTGGAAGAACTAACTCTCAATTAAAATAATTTATTTAATATCTCTGTTCTGTCCATTAAAATAACTTATTTAATATCTAACTTATTTGATATCTATGTCCCGTGTAAAAGAGCCCTGTGTACCCTATGAAGGCCTAATTCTACTGGGTTTCCAAATTTTTAGAGATCTGCCGATTAAGAAATGTCGCCATCCAACTGGATGAATCGTATGGTTTCCGAACCGTACTATTTGCTCCATATTCTGGTTTTCTTCTCCTACATTCCTGTAAGGTGTTCCGCCGCCTGCCTCCTCTCTCATCACCGCTCCGCTCATCTTCTTCACCGAGTAATTCGTTACATACAACTAAATCTTTTCTCTCTTGCATATATATATATACATTCATTAGTTTATATGATGATTTTCTTTGAATTTGTATAACTTTTGTTTTTATTTCAGTGCAAATTTGTTTGTTTGTTGTAGGAGTTTCAGGCGCTACTTGCTTTTTGCATTTTTGATGCTATCAAGGTCCGAAGTTTTTGCCCTTTTATTATTATTATTATTATTATTATTATTATTATTATTATTATCATTATTATTTATTGTATTGTGACAACAGTTGTTCTAACAATCTCGGTCATTGAAGAAATTGAGGAATAACATTGATTTGATTTTATAGCACTTCTAATTTTTCTTCGTTCAGATGGGGGAATGCCATGCTTTCGCCAAATGTCATTATTGAAAATTGAGCACTAATGTTCTTAGACGAAACAGCTATGAGTTAACCATAAGTGATTGTGTTGGGGACTGTTAGTTCTTAACGAAGGATTGATGTTAATTTGTAGGTGGTGAAAACAGAATCATGGGAGGCTTTTATAGCCGATACTATATTCTTCGCGAAGGTACCCTAGTTGCTGCGGTTGTGTCTGAATTTTTATGATAAAATGTTTTGGAGGAAACTTTTTTCAGTCCAAATAAATTTGTAGATCCTTATGAAGTACTGCTATATGCACATGTGTGCTTCTTAAACCCCAGGAATATAGTTTGTTATTGAAATATTCGGTATGCTTCCAAAAATTTTCCTTCTCGAGTACATGCTGAATTTAATTTCTAGAATAATGCTGAACAGCCTTTGTATGGGGCAAAAATTTAACTCAGCATGTTACTTACCTTCTTTTTTTCATTTTATGTACTATTACTGCTCTTTCATTTTTTTGGAGAGTGTATAAGCTAACTTGAGAGTTCATTTTCCAGTTTTTCCTAGCAGCTATTGCTCTGGTCATGGATTATCACTTGGCTTTGTGGTATGCCGTAGCATTTGCCAGTATGTATTGAACAACTACCTTTCCTTTATGTGTCCCGACTTTCCATTTGCACTATGATTTTGACATTGTATTAAGAAAATATTTAGTATCATTTTAGCCTAGATTTGTTTGTTTTGCAACATGCTTGACTTTATTATGCTTGTAAGAATTTCGATTGCATAGATGGTACTGCCCAGTGCCACCTCCATAGCATAAACATCAATATTTGGTGTGCAAAAAATTATTCAAGCTGTAATGGGTTAATTTTCATGTTTTGTGGCAGTTATATATATCATTTCACAACAACCTGCTTATGGAGAACTAGGTAAAAAAATGTCTACTCTCTAATCAGATTCCTTCTTTCTTCCTTCTGTGCCTGCCCAGCTTCTCTTATATCAAGCTTACAGTAATTTTTGGCAGAGTCCAATTGCAATAGTATATGCTTCTCTTATATCAAGCTTACAGTAATTTTTGACACAGTTCAATTGCAATAGCATAACAAACATTACATCGACTTTTATTCCATGCCTGATTTCAGTTTATTCTTCGTTTTATTCAAAATAATTTATCTAGGCACAACAAGTCACCTAACACCTCTCCAGCTGGAAACACTGCTTACTGAGGGGAACACATCAAAATTCTGGATGGTTGGTGTGTAGACATTCTCTTTGTAGTTATATTTTTGTTCTCTATTCAATTGATTCATTAATAATAACCCAATTTTGACCATGTGCACTACTTCCATGCAGGTCATGTGAAATAGCTTCAAAATTTTCTGATTTTCAATTTCCTATTGGCAAAATTTTTGTTTGGGTCTTTTTCTTTTAAGTGAAATATTTTTCCCTATGGACTTGACTCTCTTTGGCAGGTCGAATTTCGTTCTTTGTCTACATCTAGTTGCATAAGATCAAGTTCCGTTTTCCCTAAACTCTCGATTACGTGAGTCTTGTCCAATTGCATCTGTCTCACACTGAATAATTTGTCATTAGTGTTTTGTTTATTTTATCAAGGTCTATCTAACACTTGCGTTTTCCATCTTCAGATTCTCAAACAAAAATTTATCCTTCGCCACAATTGATGTTGGACTCTTTCCAAATGTTGCCGAGAAATTTGGAATCACCCTTGGTAGAAAAGAACGTTTTATTTGCCCTACTATATTGTTCTTAATCGCGTTTATTCCCTATTTATGAGTATCCTCTTAAGATGAACTTTGATAATAGGAAGTCTTCACCAACTTCCGACATATATGTTATTCCGTGATGGAGATATGGTCTCACGCTTACCTGATATTGATTACGAAGCAAAGATTTTTGATTCGCCTCTGTCTAAGGTATTGTCATGGACTTAAATCATGTTCTACTTGCTGACTGTGTTCGAACAAATGTTCGTTAATGGTAAAATGCTTGTGTTTGCATCTTTGATGTCTTTGAAAATTTTATATAGTCTTCTGATAAAAGCCCTTGTTGGATTAAATTTTGCAGAGACTTTTGTGCCGACATTTTGAGCTCGATAAGCTGTTCCTCGATTATATAAATGGTAAATAGGCAAGCAGGGGCTGCACTGCACTCAACACTAGAAACTAGAAGAGGAGTGTTTGAGCGTTTGCTTAAATCTATACAATCGAGAAAATAATGATTTCTGGACCCTTTGGTATACGGGATATATTGTAGGCACAGTTACTAGAGCTTGGGATACTTTGCCTGCAGAGTTTTTTTTTTTTTTGGAGTTTATAAAGAATTTTGACTTAAATTTTACCTTACTGTTATGGATCTTATTATGGTTCATGGTTAGGCAATTTGAGTGAACTTGGTTTATTTGTTTGGTTTTAGTTAAATTATTACGCAGCCTGTGCGATACATGATGAAGTAATAATAAATAATATGAATGAAAGCAATAAAGAAATATTGATTAGTATAAAAATAGTTGGAATATTAATATTACTTTTATCTTTTCTTTTATTTTCTTATATATAATAGTTTAATATATAATTTATATATTTATTTCACCTGTTATAAAATAGTTGTTATTATAGAACTTTTTTTAGAATTAAGAAATATGAAAATTGAATCTATTCAAACATTATCATTAAATAATTCTTACAAAAACACTTTTCTCTCTCATTCCTTACTCATGCTTTATTACCATATATTATTTCGATTCTTAAATAAGTGAAGATATAGTTTAAAAATTGTGGCAAATATTTTATACCGACACTTATGAATGTATTGTATATTGTTTTAAAGTTATAAGCTCAGTAATTTTTAGTAATATCAAAAATATTTTAATTTTATTATAATTTATAATAATGTATATTAAAATTATTTGGAATTTTCTTTCTAATCTAATTATTCAAATCACATTTCGACGTTGATTTGATTAATCATTATAATTTAAAACAATATATATGATAAATATTTTGTTCTAAGCGAACATTTTAAATCATTGTTCGACATATGACTTGTTGGTTTATCATTATAGTTTATAAGAATATATATAGTTTATAACAATAGGATGTAGTTCAAATGAAAACCAAGTTCTAGCATGAGAACCGTGAGAATCGCTATTTTTAATTGTATGTAGTGCTATGGTTGATTATATTTTAGTGTTATTTTTAATCGATATATTTTATTAAAAATAGCAACACAATTTTTGTTAGCATTTGTAAAAATGATAGCACCATGTAAAATTAAAAATAGCATCATACACAATTGAAATTGACATCAAATATGGTTCTCACGGTTCTCACATCAGGATTAGTTTTTATTTGAACTAACCCCTATAACAATATATGTTATAAATATTTTATTTTTTTCCAAAGCGGTCTCACACTTNCTAAGTGTTAGTTGTAGTGAAAATAGTTATTTTCACCCCATTTTGAAGTCTTGCTAAGTTTTTCACAACGCCCAATAAAAAGCTAAGTTTTTCACCCCAGAAAATGAGAAAGACATTGTGCGATGAATATGCGATAGTTGCGCGATGATATTGTGCGAAAGTTAGAAGTGCGAAGGCATTCGCATATCCCTTCGCACTTTCTGGGCTGGAAAAAGTTAAAGTGCAAAGGCATTGTGCGATGAATATGCGATAGTTGCGCGATGACATTTGTGCGAAAGTTAGAAGTGCGAAGGCATTCGCATATCCCTTCGCACTTTCTAGGGTGGAAAAAGTTAAAGTGCGAAGACATTGCGCGATGAATATGCGACAGTTATGCACTTGATATGTGATAATTATGCAGTCATTCGCATAACCTTCGCACTTCTCGGGTGAAAAAGTTAGATTGTTAGTGGACGGTGTGAAAAAAATTAATGTATTTTTGTATTGGGGTGTAAAAGATTTTTTCCCTTAATTGTATGTGTTATGTGTTGTGGTTTAGGTTAGGGGGTGCTAAAGGGATTTTAACCCGGTTTATACCTTTAGTGCTTGCTTATGGATTGTATCTAGGCCACCATGTTGGTGCGGTTCTCCTCTCGTTTTTTTCTTGTAAGGGCTAGTGGAGCTCTCCAATTTGTACTCTTCATTTTTAATATTATGAGATTTGATATTGTTTGAAAAAAAATAAACTCTTATTTTTTCATAAATGTTTTAGAAAAATTAAAAGAAAAAAAAAAGTAAATACAACTTATGCGTTTGGCGGAATGCATTTTAATTTTTTTTTTTTGAAAAAAAAAATAAATCTTAAAAATATTAACTAGAAATGAAAAATTCATATAAAGATGCTACATATAATAGTAGTTACATATACAAAATTGATTCTTTAAATGTAATTTTACAATTATGAATTGTTTTATACTTTTATTATGTTGTGTGTTAAAATAATATATTAGTATACTATGTAATTTACTTGTAACAGAAGGTTTCGATCACAACCAGTACTAGTAATTTTAAATATAACCAATAAAAAATAAGATATAGATATTTTTATATAGAGATGACCGGCCGACATATATATAATGTTGTGTACAACTAAATTTTCATCATTAACAATACCTTATTTTGATTTTTATTTATATTGTTGAATTTAAACTTTATGTAAATAATTAAATTGACTAGTAGAAAAAAGTAGATTTGGAAGCAGATACTCCTCTGTCCACTTTTTCTCTATACGTTTGGCCATGGCTAAGCTCTCGAAAAAACACTTATGCTGCTGTTTCAATTTAATAAAGGAAGGCAAAAATATTACAGAAAAAAACTATCATGACAATTGACAAACACCAATAAATTACTTTTAAAAGAGACTTTGCAGCATCAATTGTACATAATTCATAAATCATAATTCAGATGTTAATGCCTTAATGGTTAGGCACAAACTGAGAATATCATGTTAAGTCTGTCAGAGATGTTATATTTGATATGAGCAAAAGAAGAGTCTTGAATTTTGTTATCAGCTAACTAGTAGTTCTCAACTAAAGCAAACATCCTACAAATGATACTACACACTAAACATAAGGGAAGATCTTGAGAGATAGTATCATCACAGATGCCGACAACGTTCTCCAGAATGGGCGGTGTCGTCTCACGACTGTAAACACAAAGATAACCCTCCGAGTCCTGAAGAAACACTTTCTCATTCTTGTAGAGGCCTACGACTCTCGTATTAACAGCAGGATTAGGATGACATACTTTGTGTGTCGAGACATGGTACCACACGCCCTTCTCCCATACCAAAATCTCGAAAATGAAAGGACAATCGATATTATTCATACTTTTCTCCTCCTGTCCATGTCCATTATTAACGAAAACAATAGCAGCAAGCAGCCCGTGAAACTCGGCAATACAAAAACAATCACGCGTGATGTCCCTCACAATTTCGCTACACGGCATAGGGATGAGATCAGGGGGAAACTCCTCCTTAGCAAAGTCGAACGAAATAATATCAACTTCTTCTGTGGTGGAATGCTCTGCTGTCCAATAATAAAAGCCATCAATGAAAAGCGACGAGTCCTGAAACACCTCCCACTCAAGATCATAAGGATACGGAATTTCCTTCCAACTCTCAAACGAAAACAGCTCCGCGTGGACTTCATCGTTCGAACGACGCGACATCTCACCACCTTATACTCCACAATTGCAGCACAAGGATCAAACCCTATGCCATAACCCCACATGCTCTCGAAAACTGGGTGCGGCTTGCGCGGCTTCGCCCTAAAAAAAGGAAGCTTTAAAAGCACGTCGGTTTTAGGGTCCCACAGAAGTAATTCCGGATGTGAAGGAATTTCGGTATATTCACACAGCATCCATGTGTTGCAGCAACTCGCTAAGACATGATATTTGGCATTCATATAATCGATATCGTAGTTTTCAGATACGAGTTGAGAAAAGTTTGGAAGAAGATCATTATTATCATTATCATCATCGTCTTGTGGCAGCACTTTGAACGAGTTGTTGTTTTCCGTTGATATTACAGAGTAAATGCGGGTCGAGTCAACTACACACTGGACCATAAGCATAGGTTTCAAAGCAGCGCGAGTATACGCCCGAATAGTAGCAGGAACACCATCAACAGTACAAGTGGCGTTGCCAGACGAGCGATTAGGATTTATCCACGATCTGGGTTCGGCATTGGCAACTTAAGGGAAGACCTTCACACCCATAGGCTTGCTACCACGCAAACCGAGATTCTCCATTCGGCTGTTTCAATGTCGTAACCAATAGTTCACGACAGGATCCTTCAAGAAGCAGTTTACGGTTCTTGTAGAGGCCCAATACTCTTTTAACAGAAGCATCCGAAACCGGGATTTCCCCTATGAACACGCAAGACCACGTGGCGGAGGCTTCTTTCCACACCCAAATCTCGAAAACAAAAGGCTTCCTAATTTCAGCAGAAGAAGCAGGAAGCCAATCACCACACCTGAAAACAACAGAAGCAAGAGACGAATCATACTCAACAAGACAAGCACTGGCATTGGGGGACTTATCGCTCTTGGGCTGGGGGATCAGAACCCCAAACCTCTCCTCAGGAAAGTCGAACCTAAGAATGAAACCCACAACAGTTGGCCAATAATAAAAGCCATTATGTAAAGAGAAGGTTGTTGACAGGGACTAATATGCTCGTAACACGGAATTCGCTTCCACGAATAACTTGCGGACGACAACAGCTCAACATAGAGCTCCTCATCCGCACTATATTTGTTCATCACGCGAGATCTCAACACCTTCCACAGTTCCCCTGCAGGATCAACCATGAGCCCGTAATCCCAAGAGTCCGACAAAGATGGGGAAGCCAAAGCAAAATACGGAAGAGCTATCGTCTCGCCGGTTGTGGGGTTCCACAGAAAGTCAAATGGAGGAATTTGGTTACATGACAACAGCATCCATGAGTTGCAAGTTGCACAAACACTATGTAAGGTGCAGAACGTGGGATCGTAGTCATCTTCTTTGAGTAGATTCAGGATTTCGTTATCATCTTGTCGCAGCACTTTGAAGTCGTTGATTTGGGTTGAGATTAGGGAGCAATCGAGGGTTCCGTCGTCATGTAAATGCCGCACCAGAAGCATCAAATTGTCGTTTTGGCAATGTGGCTCACCTTTTTCGGGAATTAGATGTGTGGTGGTGTTCGAGACAATTTCGATACCTGCCATTGTGCTGTAGCGTCAAATCGATGATTTATCTTTCGTAATGGCCTATTGGCTTAGATGCAAGAGAAACAATAAATAGAGTCCAACACCGTCTAAATCTCTATCNAATAACTGGACAAAAATAAAAATAAAAAATTATGGACAAAAATAAAAAGCACGTATTTTCATAATACGTTTTTTTAATTAATTTTTTTTAAAAAACTTATTAGGGTAATACATTTTAAAATTATATTTTTAAAATACTTTTTTTTAAATAATTGAAAAACGTATTTCAATAATACGTTTTATAAAAAA